TCTACGTCTCTCTCTCTCTCTCTCTCTCTCTCTCTCTCTCTCTCTCTCTCTCTCTAAGTTACTCTCTAACCCACTTCGTTCCTTCGTCTTTTTCTTATAGAGAACTGTCTTCTCTACACCACTTATCCCTCCTACCTTTCTTCAGTTCTCTCTCTCTCTCTCTCTCTCTCTCTCTTTATACACCTATTTATCTACCCTCTCTCAAGCTATTGCAATCTACCTTTTCTCTAATGCTTCAATGCCACAATGAGAAAAGGCCCATCCATTTAATAGAAGCCATTTCTTCTTTTCTTTTTAGTTTGTCTATCTTCTTCTTCACTTTCAGTTTTAGAGAGAGAATGTTAGAAGAAGCTAGGTGTTAGAGAAAATATGTGAGATAAGAGAAAAATGATTTGGATTCTTAGGGAACATGGGAGGAGGGAAGAGCATGGGACTTTTGTAGAGAAAGGTGAGAAGATGAGTGGGTGCATGGGGAGGAACGGGGGGGGGAGGTGGGAGAGAGAGTGAGAGAGAGAGAGATGAATGGGTGTATGGGAGGGGGTGAGGGATGCATTACAACACAAAGAGGGAAAAAACAGCCCATTGCCCCTCTTAATGTGCTTATGTGGAGTAACAGGAATAATTTCAAAAATTAAAACCTGATAGGTCCAGCATCTCCTTGTACCCCGCCCCTTGTCCTCGCAAAGCAGGTAATGTGTGGTCAAACTAGGCACCACACCAAGTCCAAGCATTTCATTGGATTGCAGTACCAGGAAAAAACCCTCACAGGGGAACAAATGTAGCAAAGAGCGTTCCATCTAGCTAGTTGTTGCATGATATGCCTACCCAAGAAGAATGTTTGGATCACTTGTTCCTAGACTCTGAGTAGCCTTCTGTTTATGGTCCAGCATACCAAGCCTTCGATTGGCAATGAGCCTTTCCCAAATTTGTAATCCAGCTCTTTCAAGCCTTCCCCTCACACCCTTACCCCAAGCTTGGAATTTTCTTGTGGCGAATTTTGGTCATGGCTACTTTGCGGAGTCCAAAGCCCTTTTAGATGGTCTCGTCTCAAACAAGTCTCCTAGTGCAACTTCTACTTGATGCAAATCTTGGAGGAAGGGATAACAACTATATTATAGCATGGCCTCAAAGAAAGCACAATTCCGATGGCGGCTAACTTCAATTTTTCACCACATATACTATCCATGCAGGGACTTGTAATTAAGGCCTCGAGGACCCCTACTTGGAAACAAGCACCTGATGTGTGGGTTGCCTTTTTTGTATCGAGAGCTCCCAATATGTGTTTAGCCAAATTTTTGGTTGCCTTGAAAGCAAATCACTTGTATAATACATAACTTTCAAATGAGTAATGCTTAACATTCCATAATTCAAACAAAGCCTTCGATGACTTATCAACTGCCTTGCTTGAGGAAGAGTTTCACGAAAATGGAGACGAACCGGAATAACATCCGATCTTGTTTTTGGATTAAGTGAAAAAGGGATATATGAAGTTCGTTCTGTTCCTCTGTGCATCTCTGTGATGGGTAAATCCCCATGAAAAAGGGACAACTTTCGTGTAGTTTGTAATTTGATGTAACTGTTAAGATTTTTTTTCGGATAAATCTTTCTCTTAATAGATCTCTTCTTGTTCCTCAATCTTCAGAAACAATCAATATTTTCTCCCTGAACCAAAAAAGAAAAAAAAAAAAAAGGAAAAAGAAAAGAGCAGTGTTCCAAAAAACACCGGTCGGCCGGGGGAGGTCTAGGCCGCCCAGAACCTAGGCAAATGGTGTCCAGTAATCCTGTTTTAGGTAAAAAATTAATCCCAAGATAAATAAAAGAAACACCAAAAATACCCCACCCAATGGTTATTTTTCCACTTAGTCAAGCACAGTCCCCTAGGCGCCCACCTAGTACCACTTAGTCAAGCATAGTCCCCTGGGCGCCCGCCTAGGCGGATACTAGGCGAGCACCCGGGGACAGCCCGCCTAGTTGGTCCGCCCAGGCCCCCCCAACCTTCCTAAGTGGTTGCCTAGGCGCTGGGTGGACAGCTTTTTGAATCAATGCAAAAGAGCAACAATTACCGAATCTAAGGTCAGATTTGGAAATTACAAAACCACTTGCCTTATCGGTTAAGTTGAAATGCCTCGTAAATTTCGCATCGAAAAAATCTTCTTTCTCATTCAACTTCTTACTTAAAGAGACCCCTGCAAGTAATAAGCAAGAGAATCACTAATATGACAAGGGCAAAGGAATTAAAAAGAAAAAAAAATCTATCATACAGGCAAAAGAAAAAAGAAAAACCAAATTCGACTAAAGTAAAACGAATATACTATGAAAAAACGATCAACGATTGTGTGAACTTCAAAGCCAATAAATATATAAGATCCATAAAACTACCATCTCTCCACCATAATTTTTCCTAGGATATAAGGTCTAAATAATAACGGGAGACTATTCAATGAAATATTATCCATCTTGGACTCTCGAATTTGGACCATGGCTTTTATTCTCAAGACAAAACTTAAAGAGCCTCCCAACACCAGCAACCATCTGAAAAGAGGCAGCTTCTATCATCATGCAAAACAAAAGCTAAGGTTGTTTCGCATCTTCTCAAACACATATGAAGGGGCAGCATTGCACGTACACAACATAAGTGCAGTTCTCTTGGTGCAACAAATTTCTGAACACTAATTTGCATAATTTGACAGAAGATAAAACAAAATACAATGAAACTTAGTTGTTGGAATTGGGAATGAGAGCAGCATGGAGAGCAAGGGATTGTCGCTTGCAAGATGCTCCCTATTAGGGAGTGCCCACACAATAGCTACTAAAAAAGTATGTGCGGCTTTGAGCAACATTTGTGGAAAGAGTTCTCAACAATATCAAAAAAATGTTCCCAAATAATGGGAATCATTGAGAAGGAAGTTCCCAAAAACTATGCAATGAACCAGTGTTTGAAACTTCGGCCGCTCATCCACCGAGGCAGCCAATCGTCTAAAATGACTAGGCAGAACCTAGGCGGGGGAGGCATGCGGCTTGTGTCTAGGCGCCCGCCTAGGTGGGCAAGGCGCCGCCTAGCCGGGCAAGGCGTCGCCTAGCACTACAATCAAGGTGGCCGCCTAGGTACCACCTTGATGTAGGTTGGCAAGGGCGGAAAAATGCCCTCGACTATGGTCAAAATAGTAATTTTTCCTTTCTAAAAAGGAGGGAAAAGAGTTTTGGGGAACATTGTAACCCCAAACCAATTCTATGCCACATCTAGAAAGAGAAAAACTCCCAAAAAACCTCTATATTGTGATTTATCGAAAGATCAATAAATTTTCAATTATTTCTAAAATCAAAGGTAGTGCTTTGTGGTAGTTTTCAGAGCTTCTAGTGGTCAATAATGAGGACTTTTGGCAATTGAACATGCGAGGTTTGGGCCGACATCATTTTCATTTAGATAATTTTAGAGCATTATGCCATCATTATATTTGAATAATTTTAATTTTCTTTCCTATAACGTATTATACTTTGAATCATTTGATTTTCGTTTTAACTTTTTTTCCTTTTATGATATATTTACATGGTTTTAGTTGAAAAATTGATTTTTTTGTAATTAACTGATTATTAACTCGTTTGGATGATGAAATTGGTTCTATATCGAGTTCTTTTATGAATAATTGGTTCTTATTTTGTACAATATGTGATGTTTTAATATCCTATTAGTTTTATTTTACTTTTTTGATATATTTACTTATTTGTTGATGGAAAATTTACAGATTTGGAGTTATATTTAGTGAATAGTCATAAAATTTGGATCAAATTAATATTTTGTGAATATATAATATCCAAAACCAAATCTTATGGATATTAATTAATAAATAATAATTATATTATAATTTATATCTAAATTTTATGTGAATAGTCCCTACCCATCCATAGGCAGCCAAGGCCCCCAAAATGCCTACACGCCCGCCTATGTTTTTTTGAACATTGCAATGAACATATTCAAATAATAAGAGATCAGCTAGATACAGATGTCTAGAGCTTTGGGCTCGAAAATGGCAAGAAAAACACTTATCTCATCCTGTCTTCCACAACATTGATCAGGTCTATATGAGACACAGTAGTTTTCCATGATCACTATGAGAGATCCAACTTTAGGAAAAAGGACTGCACTAAGACATTGATGCTTGATGTTCATGAAGGAAAGTAGTTTCTTCAGAAGAAAGCAACCTGCTTTGGACAAACTGGATCAAGACTATAGACCATGGCCACAAATCTTCAATGGAAAGGCAAGTCATGGAGGATTATGCTAGAACGCAATTTTCAGCATCACCAAGACAAGATCCCTTTCAGAGGGTTTTCAGTGTGCATCATACAAATAAAGATTATAGAAGGTCTTTGATGAATCCCAAAACATGAATTGAATGACCAGTGTGTTAAAAGATGGCCCAGGCCTCGGATTCAGCCTTAGCCAGAGCAGAATAACTAGGCCAAGCCCGAGTGGAACCAGCAAAGTAGTGTATAGTGCCCAAAAGGCCAAAAAAAAAAAAAATTACTTCAAGATAAAAGAAAAATTGTGAAAGTGAAACAAAACCAAAGTCAACATAAAAAGTCCAAAAAAAAAAACAAAAAAGAGGAAATTTCAAAATAGGGCATATGTCAAGAAAAACCATCTGCATTATAGAACATGGATTTAGAAAATAAAATAAAATGATTTATTGTTGGAGACGATTTAGAAAAAAAAGAGGAAAATTAAAAATAGGGCATATGTCAAGAAAAACTCACAAATCATTGTAAAACCCATCCAAATTACACTATAAAATTTATATATATATATATTCCACAATTTTTGCAGTTGTTTTATTTTTTAGATGGCCCAGGTTGGCCCCAAGTACTCGGCTTGGAAAGAAGCCAAGCCGAGTGGACTCGGCTGAGTTTTCAATCATTGCGAATGAAAGAGGGCATAAAGAAATATTCAACTCTTATTTTGAGGAGATAAAGGCTGTGGATATCAATATCTCGAAACTAGCATATTTGGCTGGCAGCCATCAAACATAAAGGAGTCCGATTAAAGATCACCATAGCTTTTAGATGGTCTCAGGACTTCCAAGTAAATCAATTCAATATATAAAGCGATGTATCAGCAAGTAATCTATAAGATCAATTTTTTTTTTTTTTAATTGAGTTTGATGACTTTTTCAAAATCCAAACTTAGGATTTGAAACAAGAAGGATACCATGGTTGAGAACATTCATTGGGATGGCATTTTTCTCCACCATGATTGATGGGAACCACAAAGGTTATCTTCAGAGTTGTAGGAGATAAAGACAAGACGTCTCATTGTACCCATTCTTATTACCAGCAGAATCTTTGGCCAGGATATTGTCCCATGGCAAGGACTAAGGGCTTCACTTTAGGTGTGGTACGTTCAGATCTCCCACCTCAAACTCGCCGATAATGCAGATGTTTTTGAGCGACCAGCAATTTAACAATCTTTCGCTCAAAAATTTGCGACACACTTTGTAAAGGTTTCTAGAGAAAAGCTTAACTTGGGAAATAATGAGAATTATGAACATGGTGGATGGTTGAGGATGAAAGGAGGTCAAGATTGACTAGGTCCTTGGGTATACAATTAATGAATAAGCATGCTTGAAGAGATTTTGAGAGGTTTGAGTATGAATGTAACCTTGTGCAAACAACTGAAGATACAATTTTTGTCATATCCTCATCCCCAGGGAGCAAAAGGTAAGATCACCCTTCATAGTTGCCTGAATGAAATCATGCTTGGTGTCAAATCAACTAGGTAACACTCAAGAATTTCAAACATTTCAAGAATCAATCTTCCACAATCCATCAGAAAAAAGCAAAGGAATTTTAAAGTCCAAATGAACATATCACATAGTCAATGATATCAAAGAATTTATTGGAAATAACAATAAGTAGAGCTTTTCCCTTATCTGGAAAATATTGTTCTTGGGGGGTGGGGGAAGGGGGGGTGCGGTTGCTCATTTCTAGCCAAACTGAAGAGGATTTTGATATTGAATGCAATCATTCTATGTTTATGAAGACCTATTCACATCAAGCAGTAAACAAAAATGGCATACCAAATTCAAAGCAACTAATGGTAGTTTCAAGGAGGGATTCCTCACGAGTAACCACTTAGGCTTGATAACAATTAATGAAACAGACTTAATTTGAATCATGTAACATCCAGAGCATCTACCTCATCCAGAGCATCTACCTGTTAGGCTCTTGACACGCTCTGCAACCCTTGAAGTTTTCAGACCAACGCCAGATACAAATGCCAAGTCCACTTTGAAAGATAATTTTGCAGAAATCTGATCACGTGTTCAACAAAACAAAATAAATTTCTCTCTTAATTGAATGCACATTGTGGCACCCCTTCACTCTGACCACTTATGCCTTGAGCCTAGTCCTACCAAAGTAAAGTAACCACTGAAAGTATTCGGAAACGAGTATAACATGGTATACCTTAATCATTAAAATGGAGTACATCATTATTTTATGAGAGCTTTGAACATTAACAGCTGCATTATAAACATATAATGGAAAAGAAAGAAAAAAGAGGTGCAATGAGTGAAACATATCACCTGGAAAACAGCAATATTGGCAGAAATATCAAAAGTGTCAGGTAGTTGCAAGCGCCCCATCCTTCTCGTCTGAAGTAAGATAACAATAAAAGATGGAACGTCCACATACAAGACTATGAAGAAGTGCAAAAACGGAAAAATGCCAAAATAGTTACAATATGAAGCATAGATTAAACATTTCTCATGTAAGGATGAACTCAAAAAATTGAACAATGAATACAGCAGCACTAGATTAAAGTTGAATCTTTTAAAATAATGAAGGCTACCAATAACTTTGATCATCAGACTTGCAATAGACGTGTTAAGAGTGCTGAAGTAGCATATTTCGAACAGGACTTGCAAAGTCAAATGAACAAAATTTCAATTACAAATTGGCTAGAGCACCTAAAATCAAACATATGCAGGTGGAGTAGAAGCAGGAGGGTCCAAGCCTCCACAACCATGCATGTAACAAAAAAGTACACACCATCAACGCATGTCGAAATCCTTATTTAAAGGAAATATCAACTATATACAGGAAGTAAACTATGTTGAGTCGATCATATATACAAATCCTCCATGACAATAAGGCCATGACTAAAGTCATAAACAAGCATAGACCGAATAGGTTACCAGCCTACATATGTATGCACGATAATTGCAAGGATCTTGGTCAAGGGGTGGCGATCCCCTCTTGGAATCTCAATCCGGCGATCCCAAAGATAAAGTCCGAGCGATACTTGCTTCCTCCCATCAAGGGATCTCAACCCTGCCTATTAGGCTCTAGGTTCCCAACTTAAAGGGATCTCGATACCTGATTGCTAAGGATCTTGATCCACTTATCCAAGTTGTCTACTTAATTGATGCTTTTTATTATTTTTATATTATTCTAAAACATATTATAATGACGGAATTATTTCATATATTTGCTTTTTTCTCTTTATTTTAGTTTAAATATGTAATTTTTAATAAAAATTCTTTTCCTGGATTTCGTAATGACCTTTGTCTCATTTCATGCATTTATTCTATCTCATTTCAAATATTCCTAAACTCTTTACATTATTTTTAATGATTAATACTTTCGTACTTTTTTTTTTCTTAACACATTTCTTTTCTACCTTTAAAAAGTGTCTACTCAATTGACAAATTTTTTTTATTTTATATTATTCGAAAGTGTATGAAAATAATGACACTTTTCATTAATTTATTCATTCTCTTAATTTTCATTTAAAGAAATTTTTTTTAGTAGGAAATCTCTTCTTGGATTTCGTAATGTCCGCTATGTCTTTAATTTCTTAAATAATCAAGTTAATGTCATTTCATGTATTTACTGTATCTCACTTCAAATCTTTACTAAGATCCTTTCCTTGATTTTTAATTTTTATGATTTTTATACTATTTTTTTGACACAAAATGTCTTATCCATCTTTCAAAAGTGCCTACTCAATTGGCGGACTTTTTTAAAAAAAATTTATATCACTTGAAAGCATATGAAAATAATGCCATTTTTCATTGATTTATTTATTCTTTCATTTAAAAACTTTTGTTTACAGTAGAAAATCTTTACTTGGATTTAGTAAGATCATTTATGTTTTACATTTCTTAAATAATCAATTTAACAACATTACATGCATTTATTGTATTTCACTTCAAAAATTCCTAAAATCTTTTCCTTGAGTTTTAGTCATTCAGATTTTCGAACATTATATTTTTTAAACACAAACTGCCCCATTAATTGTGTATAAATTCTTCTATTTATAATAGAAAATCTATTTTTTGACTTTGTTATTCTCTTATGTGTACCATTTGCTGATGTCTATAGACTGTACTTTATAGATCCTAAATCTACTCTTTTTTTGGATTTCGTAATTTTTTATGGGGCCTTCTGGCAATAAAGTTCTTATTAGCATGTGTTCAACATACTGATAATGCAAAAATACGGTTTGTTCATTCTTTTATTTTTATAATATATCAACACAACCATGAGCTGTTAAAATTTTATGATATAATGCATGTATCAATGGGAGACAAAAAAAAAAAGAAAAAAAAGAAAAAAAGAAAAAAAGGATTCTCTGAGAGAAACAATCATTACAAGTATGTGGAACTTCTAAACCAAAAATATTTCCTTAACAAGGATAATGAATGGATTTTAAAAATTTTTATGATTTATAAGAATGTAGACCATTATTCGGACCAAGTTTCCAAGATCAAGGATCATAATATTTACATCAAAATCAGGATAGCCATAAATCAACAAATTTGTGAACGTCCACTCAAACCATATTCAGGGCCATGAATTGAGATTTGGAATTGCCTGTGAAAGGTCCTACCTAATACTTGTAGCAGGGAATGGTTGAAAAACAATACATAACCCAGATTGAACAATAGGGAATTAAGGTAATTAAAGAAGTTTGACACATTTTTGGCAAGCTACGATGTAAACTACAAAAAAAAACTTTCGCCATTATAAAAATTCATCTTCATCATTTGAGCCTTATCCCAACCATTTTGGCTTGCCCTTTGACTCCATGAATACATTTGACAAATTAATGATTAAGTAAAATGTGGAACTAAGAAAGGCCTACAAATCAGTGTAAACCAAAATCAAACCGGAACGGTTAACTAGAATTGGCCCAGAAGCCAGTAAACTGGCCAATTCAACCGTTCTAAACGGGCAAGTCCCGGGCGGTG